TGGAAAACCTGAAAAATCCGAAAACTGAAATATCCAAAAACCGAGAACCTAAAAAGTCGAAAAATTGAGCAATGGAAAAACTGAAAAACCGAAATAGGCCAAAATAAAAAATTGAAAAAATGATAAATCGAAAACCTGAACAATCAAATCCCGAGAAATCGGGAATGAAAAATTAACAAATCGAAAAATTGAAAAACAGAACATCCAAAACCAGGAAGTCGAAAAATCGAAAGATTAAGAAATATTGAAAAATTAAAATATCGAAAGATTGAAAAATCTAAAATTGAAAAATCCAAAAATTGTGAAAATCGAAAAAGTAAAAAGGTAGACACATCGAAAAATCCAGAAGTCAAAGAATTGAAATATTGAAAAATCCTAAAACTGAAATATCTAAAAACTGAAAAATCGAAAAATCAAAAAAGTGAAGTCGAAAATAGAAACCTTAAAAAATCGAAAAACTGAAAAATCAAAAACCCGAAAAATCGAAAAATTAAAGAATTGAAGAACAGGAAAATCGAAACACTCGAAGGTCAAGAAATGGGAAAATCAAAACATCGATCAATTGAAAGAGCGAAAAATTGAGAGTTTATAAAAGTCAAATTTGAAAAATTAAAAAATCGAAAATTTGACAAAATGACAATTGAAAAACAGAAAATCTAAAACCGGGAAGTCGAAAAATCAAAAGATTAAGAAATCGAAACATTTGAAAAATTCGAAAACTTGAAAAATTGAAATATCGAAGAACTGAAATGAAAAATCGAGAAATCGAAAACTCTAAAATTTTAAAAATTAAAAAATCTCAAATATAAAAACCGAAAAATTGAAAAATCGAAAAAGTTAAAACGACAATTGAAAACAGAAAATCTAAAATCGGGAAGTCGAAAAATCAAAAAATTAAGCAATCGAAAAATTGAAAAATCGAAAAAGTAAAAGAATCGACACATCGAAAACTCCAGAAGCCAAAAATCGAAAAGTCGAAGAATCAAAATATTGAAAAATGCCAAAAATGAAATATCGAAAAACTGAAAAATGGAAAACCTGAAAAATCCGGAAACCGAAATATCCAAAAACTGAGAACCTAAAAAATCGAAAAATTGAGCAATGGAAAAATCCAAAAAGTGAAGTAGAAAAATAGAAACCTTAAAAAATCGAAAAATTGAAAAATCAAAAACCCGAAAAATCAAAAAATTAAAGAATTGAAGAACAGAAAAATGGAAACACTCGAAGGTCAAGAAATGGGAAAATCAAAATATCCATTAATTGAAAAATCGAAAAATTGACAGTTTATAAAAGTCAAATTTGAAAAATTAAAAAAAAGAAAATTTGACAAAATGACAATTGAAAAACAGAAAATCTAAAACAGGGAAGTCGAAAAATCAAAAGATTAAGCAATCGAAAAATTGAAAAACCGAAAAAGTAAAAAAATCGACACATCGAAAACTCCAGAAGCCAAGAATCGAAAAGTCGAGAATCAAAATATTGAAAAATCCCAAAACTGAAAAATGAAAGAAAAACTAAAAATGGGAAAGTAAATCGGGAAATTAAAACATTGAAAAATCGAAAAATTTAAAACGACAATTGAAAATAGAAAATCGAAAGATTAAGAAATATTGAAAAAAAAAATATCGAAAAATTGAAAAATCTAAAATAAAAAGGTAGACACATCGAAAAATCCAGAAGTCAAAGAATTGAAATATTGAAAAATCCTAAAAATCAAAAAAGTGAAGTCGAAAATAGAAACCTTAAAAAATCGAAAAATTGAAAAATCAAAAACCCGAAAAATCGAAAAATTAAAGAATTGAAAAACAGGAAAATCGAAACACTCGAAGGTCAAGAAATGGAAAAACCAAAACATCGATCAATTGAAAGATCGAAAAATTGAGAGTTTATAAAAGTCAAATTTGAAAAATTAAAAAATGGAAAATTTGACAAAATGACAATTGAAAAACAGAAAATCTAAAACCGGGAAGTCGAAAAATCAAAAGATTAAGAAATCGAAACATTTGAAAAATTCGAAAACTTGAAAAATTGAAATATCGAAGAACTGAAATGAAAAATCGAGAAATCGAAAACTCTAAAATTTTAAAAATAAAAAAATCTCAAATATAAAAACCGAAAAATTGAAAAATCGAAAAAGTTAAAACGACAATTGAAAACAGAAAATCTAAAATCGGGAAATCGAAAAATCGAAAGATTAAGCAATCGAAAAATTGAAAAATCGAAAAAGTAAAAAAATCGACACATCGAAAACTCCAGAGGCCAAAAATCGAAAAGTCGCAGAATCAAAATATTGAAAAATGCCAAAAATGAAATATCGAAAAACTGAAAAATGGAAAACCTGAAAAATCCGGAAACCGAAATATCCAAAAACTGAGAACCTAAAAAGTCGAAAAATTGAGCAATGGAAAAATCCAAAAAGTGTAGTCGAAAAATTGAAACCTAACAAAAAAAAATAAAAAACCAAAAATATGAAAAATCGAAAAATTAAAGAATTGAAGAACAGAAAAATCGAAACACTCGAAGGTCAAGAAATGGGAAAATCAAAACATCCATTAATTGAAAAATCGAAAAATTGAAAAATCAAAAACCAGAAAAATAAAAAAATTAAAGAATTGAAGAACAGGAAAATCGAAACAATCGAAGGTCAAGAAATGGGAAAACCAAAACATCGATCAATTGAAAGATCGAAAAATTGAGAGTTTGTAAAAGTCAAATTTGAAAAATTAAAAAATCGAAAATTTGACAAAATGACAATTGAAAAACAGAAAATCTAAAACCGGGAAGTTGAAAAATCAAAAGACTAAGAAATCGAAACATTCGAAAAATTCGAAAACTTGAAAAATTGAAATATCGAAGAACTGAAATGAAAAATCGAGAAGTCGAAAAATTTAAAATTTTAAAAATTAAAAAATCTAAAATTTAAAATTTGAAAAATTGAAAAATCGAAAAAGTAAAAAAATCGACACATCGAAAAATCCAGGAGTCAAAAATCGAAAAGTCCAAGAATCGAAATTTTGAAAAATCCCAAAACTGAAAAATGAAAAAAAAACTAAAAATGGGAAAGTAAATCGGGAAATCAAAACATTGAAAAATCGAAAAATTTAAAACGACAATTGAAAACAGAAAATCTAAAACCGGGAAGTCGAAAAATCGAAAGATTAAGCAATCGAAAAATTGAAAAACCGAAAAAGTAAAAAAATCGACACATCGAAAACTCCAGAAGCCAAAAATCGAAAAGTCGAGAATCAAAATATTGAAAAATCCCAAAACTGAAATATCGAAAAACTGAAAAATGAAAGAAAAACTGAAAAATGGAAAACCTGAAAAATCCGAAAACTGAAATATCCAAAAACCGAGAACCTAAAAAGTCGAAAAATTGAGCAATGGAAAAACTGAGAAACCGAAATAGGCCTAAATAAAAATTTGAAAAAATGATAAATCGAAAACCTGAACAATTAAATCCCGATAAATCGGGAATGAAAAATTAACAAATCGAAAAATTGAAAAACAGAACATCCAAAACCAGGAAGTCGAAAAATCGAAAGATTAAGAAATATTGAAAAATTAAAATATCGAAAGATTGAAAAATCTAAAATTGAAAAATCCAAAAATTGTGAAAATCGAAAAAGTAAAAAGGTAGACACATCGAAAAATCCAGAAGTCAAAGAATTGAAATATTGAAAAATCCTAAAACTGAAATATCTAAGAACTGAAAAATCGAAAAATCAAAAAAGTGAAGTCGAAAATAGAAACCTTAAAAAATCGAAAAATTGAAAAATCAAAAACCCGAAAAGTCGAAAAATTAAAGAATTGAAGAACAAGAAAATCGAAACACTCGAAGGTCAAGAAATGGGAAAATCAAAACATCGATCAATTGAAAGAGCGAAAAATTGAGAGTTTATAAAAGTCAAATTTGAAAAATTAAAAAATCGAAAATTTGACAAAATTACAATTGAAAAACAGAAAATCTAAAACCGGGAAGTCGAAAAATCAAAAGATTAAGAAATCGAAACATTTGAAAAATTCGAAAACTTGAAAAATTGAAATATCGAAGAGCTGAAATGAAAAATCGAGAAATCGAAAACTCTAAAATTTTAAAAATTGAAAAATCGAAAAAGTTAAAACGACAATTGAAAACAGAAAATCTAAAATCGGGAAGTCGAAAAATCGAAAAATTAAGCAATCGAAAAATTGAAAAACCGAAAAAGTAAAAAAATCGACACATCGAAAACCCCAGAAGCCAAAAATCGAAGAGTCGAACAATCAAAATATTGAAAAATCGCAAAAATCAAATATCGGAAAACTGAAAAATGGAAAACCTGAAAAATCCGGAAACCGAAATATCCAAAAACTGAGAACCAAAAAAGTCGAAAAATTGACCAATGGAAAAATCCAAAAAGTGAAGTCGAAAAATTCAAACCTTAAAAAAATTAAAAAATCAAAAATCAAAAATATGAAAAATCGAAAAATTAAAGAATTGAAGAACAGGAATATCGAAACCCTCGAAAGTCAAGAAATGGGAAAACCAAAACATCCATTAATTGAAAAATCGAAAAATTGACAGTTTATAAATGTCAAATTTGAAAAATTGAAAAATCAAAAACCAGAAAAATCAAAAAATTAAAGAATTGAAGAACAGGAATATCGAAACCCTCGAAAGTCAAGAAATGGGAAAACCAAAACATCCATTAATTGAAAAATCGAAAAACTGAGAGTTTATAAAAGTCAAAAAAAAAAATGCGCTCTGGTCTGTAGATCAAACGCGTCGTTAAAAATATTATGACATTTTTTCTAGTTAATTTTATTCCTAGTTAGAAACAAACACTGTTGCCAACATACGTCGATGAGTCCTCAACCGTCATTTAATTTAAACTATGACGCTTCTCTATGTTCTCTTTCGGTGCGTCTTTAAAAAAAGTTTGAAAATTCGAAACGTTGCGGCGCGGGAATTTTTTACACATTGGATAATGTTAAGCGAAAACTATTTATTTTCAAGCAAAATACAATTTATTTTGTCAGTTTGCACTTTTTCTCTAGGTACTTGTGACAGTTGTGCTGTGGTTGTGTGATCTAGTAGGCTGCAAAACAAGTGAAAATTTCAGAGTTACATTGTAGCCACCATCTTAATTTTGGTTTGATTGTTGAATTAAAATGGATTATTGTGGGGGCTCCAGCATAGGCCTGCGACGAAAGTCTCTGAAAGACTTGGAGCCCGACTTAGACAACATTTTAATTGTTGCTGTCATCATCGGTAAGCAAACACCGAGGAAATTTCCAGATAGAAGCAAAGACAACGACCAGTACAGAGCAGTGTGGAATTTCACCCTCCGGGATTCGCCTCGAGACTACATAAACGTGACTTTCTGGGGGCCCAGTGAGGACGTTTGTTCCACAAACGACAAATTTTACACCGGGGATGTCGGTAAGAAACCAACTCTGAGCAAACTTGCACTCACCCCATTTTCAGTCGAGATCAGAAACCCCCGGATCCAAGTGCGTAAATTTAACGAATCCAGCGAGCAGTACTTTCCGACGGTGACTTCGCCCTTTTCGTTGAGTTTGAACGACCGCAATCAGATTCTGCGCCACCATGGAGACACCTTCGCTTTTAACAAGCTTTTGAACTTTCCTACGAAACCATTGAGTGGTTACGTGCCCCTGCGAGACATCCACAACGGGGGAGAAAGCATGAAAGGTTGGCCCCACTTCACTCCTTCTTTTTATAACACAAGTATTTATTAGACCGAATTATCGACATTCTGGGGGCCATAAGAAGCGTCGGACCCTTTAAAAACATCAAAACGAAAACCGGACAAGAGATACAAATGCGCGAAATTGTGCTGTTTGATCATACTAGTTCGGGGTTGAGGGTGGCCTTTTGGGACCCTGAAAATATGACGAGGGCTACTAAGTGGAAGCCGCGAACGACAATTCTTTTTATTACTGATACGAAAATAGTGTGGTCGGGTTTTCTGAGGGCTTACAGTGCCTCAGTTACCGGGCGCTCAATAGTTACCGAAAACCCCATTGGAAAGGAGGCTACCACTTTAGTTACATACGCGAAAAATGCACCTCTGGAGACCGTGGACATTTTGGACCAATTCATAATGGATTTACCAGCTGGTACTTTTTAAATTGTGTTTAATTCCAAACTATGACTCTATTTTTCAGCTGAATCCATACAAAACGTGATGTGCATCCAACAAGTACGTAACAAAATTAACAACTTCTCACAGAAAAATTTCTCCTCGGAGCCTCAAATCACGGCGCTTTTGTACGTCACGGTGACCCAATTAGATTTAGACGGTCCTCTTCCAGTAACACGTGTTAAATGGTACTATTTCGTTCAAAATAAGACACCCTTAAATAACCCTTTTTTAGTTCTGGATGCAAAACTTTTCTCAAAAATACACCTCCAACTTGCGAAAACACCGACTGTCCTACCGTCCAAGAAGCAGGGGTGAGGTCTTTAGACCACTCCTTCGAAATCAAAATAAACTTGTCTGATCACACCGGTACCCTTTCCAGCTGCCGTTTATCCGGTTCCGTTGCCGAACAAGTCCTTGATTGTACCGTACGCACAATTTATTTTAACCAATTTTGAAAATTCTTGACCCATCACTTCAGGTTCGCCAGTTTCTGAGGATGACCCAACATCAAAAATCCCGCTTGAAGTGGAAATACCTGATGGAGCGTTGCGCCGTTCGCATTGTGGCTCTCGTCCCCAGCGGCCTCTTTCCCCGCATTTCCGTCGTAAGTCTAGCGAAAGCCGACCCTGTAGAGGCGGCCCAAAAAACCCCCTTGTGTTAATGCCGCTTAAGTAAGTAGAAAGTGCCAAGTCTGTGACTTTATTTACTCACTCGATCATACATTTAGTTAGAAACGTTCATTAAATGCAGTGGACTAGAAAAATATCTAATTTTGATTGGTGCTCTCAAATCTTATCCACGTTGTTTGATTAGTAACATAAATAAAACGTTCACGTTCGTTTCCAACATTGTTAAATTTTTGAATGGAATGATAATGTTTTAACAAAATTTAAAAAAAAAAAACAACAATTAAAACACTAATCAATACGCATTGCCTATGACTTAAGTCGCCGTTTCATTAAGATACTTTCATTTTGCCTTCGCCGCACAACCAGAGACATATTCTGTCTACCAGAAACGAAAAGAAGAAGTCCGCAAATAAGATTTGCACCAGGATGACTCGAAACTGGAAAAAAATCGTGAGCGGAATAATCGTTATTGGAAACGAACTTACGTCTGGAGGAAAATCGATTATCTCGAATTGTTCCGCCAGCTCGGGCACTATTCCCAAGGTTAGCGCCAGCACTAGTCCCCCAGAACCCAGAATACTGTAAAGTAGCGCCCTGTTTTGTTTGAGACTTTCCATATAGGGGTTACCCTGAAAAACGACTTTTGTTTCAAAAATCCAAACCAATCACACTCTTACCCTGTAATTGATGGCGAAAGTGGCTATTTGTAGCGCCATCGATATGATGTATACTGTACTATTTACAATGTTTGGCTCGAATAACTCGTCTTCCTCCTCTTCAGTCAGCTCCTTGAGAGGTTCAGTCGCGTTTAGTGCTTTCTCATCTCTAAAACGTGTATAGTTACTTAAGTAGTTGGGAGTGACTTAAGTTACTTACAGCGGCGCTCGCAACTTGGCTTGTTGCACCAAGAATATCAAACACAAGAAGTGGACAGCGAATTGAAGGAGGACTGTCGCAATTGTGTATAAATTGAAGATGTTGGGAAGAGGGCGCTGCTTCGACAACGTTTTCAACGGCTGGAATTTTTTCAAATGGGGGGTAACATGAAAAAAATATCTCGTTTATGGTTAAAGATATCGATGAGTGGTAAAAATTACGACCTAATATACTTTAGGCAAACTAACAGCTAACTAAAATTTCGTGTTATTTTGTCCATTTTTTCTTAATATACGAAGTCTTTTTTCCCAACAAGAAACTGAAAACATGTTAAGTATCCTGTTGTTGAAAGAAAACAATAGGTACATTAAAAAAAACAAAGATTAAACCCCACCCACCCGCCCCGATCTCAATTCTGATGAATTTTTCATGGTTGTTACACCGAGAAGCGGAGCGTAATTGCAAAATACATATTTCTCTACAAAAATTTATAATTGCAAAATTAAAAAATTTGAAAATTGGAAAAACGAGGATTTGAAAATTCAAATGATCGAAAAATTGTAAAATCGGAAGAAACATTGAAAAAATAAAGGAAATGAAACAAAAAATTGTGAATAAAATCACGAAAATGGAAATTAAAAAATCGAGAGAATGAAAAATAAAAATAAAGAACTTGAAAATTCTGGAATATATAAAACAACAAAGGGGAAAAATGAAGTTTTAATTTATTTACTTTTTATATTCAAGATTTTTCGATATTTCAATTTTCCGATTCCTCAGTTTTTCGATTTTTCAGTTTTTCAATATTTTTTCACTTTTTTGGTTATTCAATTTTTCAATTTTTCGATTTTTTCGATATTTTAATTTTTCGAATTTTTAAATCTGTGATTTCTCAGTTTTTTGCTGTTTCGACTGCTCGCTTTTTCATTTTTGGTGCGACTTTTTGGATTTCAATTTTTCGGCTTTTCGGATTTCGATTTTTCGGTTCTTCAATTGTTCGATTTTTAAAATTTTTGATTTTTCGATTTTTCAATTCATCGAGATTTCTATCTTTCGATTGTTCAGTTTCTCAATTTTTCTCTTTCCATTTTTTTATTTCTCAATTTTTTGATTTTTTGACGTTTCAGCTTTTCGATAGTTCAATTTTTTCATGTTTCGATTTTCATCCTTTCTGTTTTGGATTTCTTTCAGTTCATAATTCTTCAGTTTTTCTATTTACTTTTCGATTTTTTTAAGTTTCAGTTTCTCGATTTTTCAATTTTCCGATTTTTCAGTTTTTCATTTTCTCGATTTTAATTTTCCAATTTTTCAACTTTACGCTTGTTTGATTTCACAATTTATTGTTTTTTCATTTCCTTTGTTTCTTCAATTTTTCAAATTATCGACTTCTAAATTTTTCAGTTTTTCGATTTGAAATGTTTCAATTTTGCAATTTTTGTATACTACAATTTTAATTTTTTTGCAGTTTACCAATTTTTAATTTTTCGGTTTTTCAATTTTTCATGTAGTCGATTTTCATTTTTCATTTTCCGGATTTATTAATTATGTTTTTATATCACAATTTTTAGCTTTATCATTTCCTTTATTTTTTCAAAGTTGCCTTTTTTCGAGTTTATAATAATTTATTTTATAATAATTTACAAGTTTTCATTTTTGAATTTTGGATTTCCCAAGTAGTGATTTTCCGATTTTCTTTAATTTACAATATTTTGATTTTGCACATTTTTTATTATTACATATTTAAAATCAAAACTAGAAAAATTACACACCAAAAATTAAAGCAACGAAATTAAAAAATCGAGAAACTGAAAAATCGAAAAATTGCAAACCGAAAACTGAAAAATCCAAAAATTGATAAATATCACATCGGAAAAAGAAAAACTATAAATTCAGAACACTGAAAAATCGAAAAACTCAAGGATAAGGAAAATAAAAACGAAACGAAAAATTGAATAAATGAAAATTTGAAAAATCGGAAAATCGAAAACTCAATTGCTAAATCTAACAATTGAAACATCCAAAAATTTAAAATGAAAGCTGGAAGACTCCCGTTTCGAAAAATTAAAGAAGAAAAAATGAAAAGTTGCAAATTGAATAATCGAAGAAACAAAAAAATATAAAATCGGAACATTGAATTTAAATATTAAAAATAAAGAAACAAAAAACTGAAAAATCGAAAAATTCAACAAACGATAAACTGAAAAATTTGCAAGCGTGAAATCGATAAAGTGATAAAATTAGGGTCGGTTTATGGAAAGCGAATTAAATATTGAATCCTCGATTAATTTAAAACATGCACGTTGCATAGCAACGGACCTCAGTTAAAATTAATCGCGATTAACTTTTAACTCGCTTTCCATAAAGCGGATCTTAAAGTTGCAAAAATGAAAAATTACGAAAAAAAAAACCGAAACTTTGAAAAATGGAAAACTGAAAGAAAATGGAAAAACATCTCAAAAATTAAACAAGGTTTTTTTTAATTTTTTTTTAAATAAAACTTTAGGGTCCTTCAAGATTTTTTTTAATTTTTGAAAAAACGACAGGGCCCCGAAATTTTTATTTTTTTATTTTTTTCAAGAATAAAAGAAGGAAAATATTGGCTCTTAAATATTTTTCGATTCAGCTGGTCGAAATCTATCTCCTAGATTTTTTTTTTTTTGATTTTTTTGCAACTTCATCAAAAACTCGTCGAAAATTACCACACGAATTTCTTTCGTTGATTTCGACTTCCAGAAGATTCTTAGTTCTTCACAAAATTCCTACAATTTTTCCGGAATCGCCAAAATGAAAACTGTTGGAAATTTTTGAGATATTTTTTGAAAATTTGACTTTGAAGCCAAATACTTCAAAAACCAATAGTCGTATTGACTTTGGATTATCTCCCCTGATAGACGTCATTTCTGCGTAAAAACTTTTTAATTTTGCAATTTTTGGCTTTTTAATTTTTTTATTTTTCAATTACTTCGATTTTTTTTCTCAATTTTTAATTTTTCGACTTTTTGATATTCAAAGTTTCGAATCATAAAAATGAGAAAAATGCAAAATTTTAAAATTTAAAAGTCAAAAATGAAAAACGACAAATTATAAAACTTGAAAGACAGAAGAAATGAAAAATTGTAAAATCGAAAGATTAAAAATTCAAAAACTGAAATAATCAAAAAAGTGCAAAAGTGCAGATTTTTTAGTTTTTTGATTTTTAATTGTTGGCTTTTTCAAATTTTCGAAAGAAAAATGGGACAATTATAAAATTGTAAAATTGAAAAATCCAAAAAAAAAACAAAAAGGATGAAATGTAAATTTTGAAAAATATAAAAATGGAAAAATCAAAAATTAAGTAACTTAAAAATCGAAAAACTGCAAAATCAAAAAATTGAAAAATTGAAATATTTAAAATTTGAAAAATCGATTGAAAATGTTCGGTTTTCGGTTTGCTTTATTTTGACAATTTTTCGGTTTTTCAATATTCCGATATTCAAATTTGGTTTTTCAAATTAAATTTTTTCAATTTTTCGCGTCTCCAATTTTTCGTTTAGGTTTTTTATTTTTTGGTCAGCTTTTCTGTTTTTCATGTTCTGATTTTATAATTTTTCTTTTTTCATGTGAAATTTTTCAGTCTTCGGATTATTTTTGATTTGTGATTTTTCTACTTTTCATTCCAAATATGTGATCATATGGAGTTGTTTTTTTTTCTCTTTTTCAATTTTACGATTTTAGAATTTTCTCATTTTTCAATTACTGGATTTTTAAACTTTTTCATTTATTCGATTTTTCAGTTCCTCGATATTGATTTTTTAATTTTTCGACTACAGTTTTGACGATTCTATAATTTTTCGATTTTACAATTTTTGGGTTTTCCAATTTTTTAATTCAATGATTTTTTTATCTTTAAGTTTTTCAATCTTTAAAATTTTTAGTTTTCCGGTCTTTCAATTCTTCATTTCTTGGCTTTTCGATTTTCCACTTTTCAATTATTTCGATATTTTTTTCTCAATTTTTAATTTTTCGAGTTTTTGATTTTCAAATTTTCGAATCAAAAAAATGAAAAAATTGCAAAATTATAAAACTGAAAACTCAAAAATGCAAAACGACAAATTATAAAACTTGACAGACAGAAGAAATGAAAAATTGAAAGATTAAAAATTCAAAAACTGAAATAATGAAAAAAGTGCAAAATTGCAGATTTTTTAATTTTTTGATTTTTAATTGTTGGATTTTTCAAATTTTCGAAAAAAAATGGGAAAATTATAAAATTGTATGTTATGTCAGTTTTTGTGTTTTTCAATGTTCTGATTTTATAATTTTTCTTTTTTTATGTGAAATTTTTCAGTTTTCGGATTATTTTTGATTTGTGATTTTTCTACTTTTCATTTTAAATATGTACTAATATGTAATTTTTTTATTTTTCTCTTTTTCAATTTGACGATTTTAGAATTTTCTCATTTTTTAATTTCTCGATATTAAAACTTTTTCATTTATTCGATTTTTCAGTTCCTCGATATTGATTTTTCAATTTTTCGACTACAGTTTTGACGATTATATAATATTTAGATTTTACAATTTTTGGATTTTCCAATTTTTTGATTCCTTGATTTTTTCTTTCGATCTTTAAGTTTTTCAATCTTTAAAATTTTTAGTTTTTCGGTCTTTCAATTCTTCATTTCTGGGCTTTTCGATTTTCCACTTTTCAATTTTACAATTTTTGGTTTTCTCATTTTTTGATTTTTCAATTATTTCGATATTTTTTTCTCAATTTTTAATTTTTCGAGTTTTTTATTTTCAAATTTTCGAATCAAAAAAATGAAAAAAATTGCGAAATTTTAAAATTGAAAACTCAAAAATGAAAAACGACAAATTATAAAACTTGAAAGACAGAAGAAATGAAAAATTGAAAGATTAAAAATTCAAAAACTGAAATAATGAAAAAAGTGCAAAAGTGCAGATTTTTTAATTTTTTGATTTTTAATTGTTGGATTTTTCAAATTTTCGAAAAAAAATGGGAAAATTATAAAATTGTATGTTATGTCAGCTTTTGTGTTTTTCGATGTTCTGATTTTATAATTTTTCTTTTTTCATGTGAAATTTTTCAGTTCTCGGATTACTTTTGATTTGTGATTTTTCTACTTTTCATTTTAAATATGTGATAATATGTAATTTTTTTATTTTTCGCTTTTTCAATTTTACGATTTTAGAATGTTCTCATTTTTCAATTACTGGATTTTAAAACTTTTTCGTTTATTCGATTTTTCAGTTCCTCGATGTTGATTTTTCAATTTTTTGACTACAGTTTTGACGATTCTATAACTTTTCGATTCACTGATTTTTTTTTGTCTGTAAGTTTTTCAATCTTTAAAATTTTTAGTTTTTCGGTCTTTCAATTCTTCGTTTCGATTTTCCACTTTTCAATTTTGCAATTTTTGGTTTCCTCGTTTTTTGATTTTTCAATTATTTCGGATTTTTTAATTTCTCAGTTTTTAATTTTTCGACTTTTCGGATTTTCAACTTTTCGAATCAAAAAAATGAAAAAATTGCAAAATTTTAAAATTGAAAACTCAAAAATGAAAAACGACAAATTATAAAACTTGAAAGATTGAAGAAATGAAGAATTGAAAAATCGAAAGATTAAAAATTGAAAAACTGAAATAATCGCAAAAGTGCAGATTATTTGTTTTTTTTATTTTTAATCGTTGGATTTTTCAAATTTTCGAAAAAAAAAAAAGGGAAAATTATGAAATTGAAAAATCCAAAAAAACGAAAAAGAATGAAATGCAAATTTTGAAAAATTTAAAAATTGGAAATCAAGAATTAAGTATGTAATTTAAAAATCGAAAAAACGAAATATTGTAAAATCTAAATATTGGAAAATTTATTCCGATTTTTTGTTTTTTCAAATTAAATTTTTCCAATTTTTCGTTTCGGTTTTTTATTTTTATGTCAGCTTTTGTGTTTTTCAATGTTCTGATTTTATAATTTTTTTTTTCATGTGAATTTTTTCAGTTTTCGGATTACTTTCGATTTGTGATTTTTCTACTTTTCATTTCGAATATGTGATATGTAATTGTAATTTTTTTATTTTTCTCTTTTTCAATTTTACGATTTTAGAATTTTCTCATTTGTCAATTACTGGATTTTAAAACTTTTTCATTTTTCGACTACAGTTTTGACGATTCTATAATTTTTCGATTTTACGATTTTTGGGTTTTCCAATTTTTTGATTCATTGATTTTTTTTTATCTTTAAGTTTTTCAATCTTATACAAAATACACAAGGCACTCTCTCGATTTTTTCAAATTTTTTCAAAAATGAAACACTAGGAGAAAAGTCCAAGGTTCCTGAGAATTCATTTCAATTCTTAAAAAATGATTTTAAAAACACCGGAATTTTTAATTTTCTTTTCAGAACCAAAACACTAAAGGCCCCCAAAATTTGTATAAATTCGTTCTAAAACAGAACACCATAGACCGCCAAGATTATTTTTTAATTTCTTTTAATAATAAAACTTTACGGTCTCTCATGAATTTTTTTAACTTCTGAAAAAACGACAGACCCCGAAATTTTTTTTTTTTTTCAAAAACAAAAGAAAGAAAACATTGATTTCTAAAATTCTTCACCAGAAGTCAAAAAGGGTCCCCGATTTTTTTTTTTTTTTTTTTTTTCTTTAAAAAATAAAACTCCAAGGGTCCTCAAAATTCTTTTAAATTCTCAAAAAATGACTTTAGAAACACTGAAATTCTTAAATCTTTTTCAGAAACAAAACACCAAAGATCCTCAAAATTCTTTCAAAAACAAACTCCAGTAGCGTTCAAGATTCTTTTAAATTCATTAAAAAAAAATCAACCCCTAACCCAAACATGTTATTTAAAAAAAAAAAAAAATGTCGATATCTTCAACCATACGCGAAATACTGCTTATATAAACAATACTTTAATAAATCACTGTTTTTTTCTTACGTACCTTCGACCTTGATATGAATAAGAAACACGCCGCCAGCAGAAGACCCTGCAAAGTCGCTTGCATGTCCCTCAACTTAATCCCATCCAAGTACAACACCGACTGAGTATAAGCTAAGATAAGCGCGTTAAGTGCCAATATTTTGAACATCTGTAGCGTCGTCACAAGCGTACACCGACCTTGTTTGATGATATGACAAACTAAAAAACACCATTTGCGACCAGTGGCTACCAACCCGACAAACTTACTGCACATAATCGACGACAGCTTGCTCGTAAACGGTGACGCAATACTGGCATCCCCCAACTTCACCACCTGCGTCTCCTCCAACTCCTTCATCATCTTATTCAAGCTCGCTTGCAACTTCTCCCTCTGATCCGCCGCCTTCACGTGATTCGTCTTATTCTTCACCATCTGCATCTCCTTCAACTTCTTCTCCTTCTCCTTCTCCATCCTCTCCTTGAACTCCTTTATGTCGCTGCTCTTCTCGGGCGCGTTCGCCAAAATGGCCACCCCGACGTCGGCGTGCTTCAGCGCCCCGACGTCGTTGGTGCCGTCGCCGCACATCAGCGCTGTGTACCCCAGACTTTTCAGCTGGACCACCACGAACTCCTTCTGCTTCGGGGCGAACCGGGCGAAGACTTTGATGTGCGGGAGGATGAGGTTGAGGAACGTGGTGAAGTTCTGGCGGAGGTAGGTTAGGGCGTCGCCGGTGATGCAGAGGTCGTACTTTTTGATTAGGGTCTTGTAGTCGTACTCCAGGGGGAGGTTTTCGTTTTGGTCGATGGACTCCCAGGACCACTCGCCGTCGGTTTCGGTCAGGTTTAGGGTGGTTTTCGTGGTGATTTTGAGCTCTTTGGCCACGTGGCAGGCGGTTAGGGGGTTGTCGCCGGTGATCATGGCGGCGCAGTGGGAGGCGTTCTGGAGTTCTCGGATCACCGACTTCGAGTCGGACTTGAGGGGGCAGGAAATTATTACGAAACCGGCGAATTTTAGGTCCTTTTCGACGTCGTCGCGGGTTTGTTCTCTCAGTTCTTGGGTGTTCAATTTGCCTATGAACGAAGAAGATAAATAAAATAGTTACAAGATTTAAATTTTAGAGAGGACGATGTCGACTAGACAAAAAAAAATGAGGTTAAAATATCGTTACGGGGTACCCGGAGCCCCCATGTGGCCTTTTTGTGTTTTTTATATTACTCTAGGATATAAGGAAAACAGAAATTTTGTTCACGTCAAAAATCGGCATTATTTTAGATATATAATTTTTGGGATTTTTGGAGTACTTGAGTTCTCTGGTTTCTTGGGTTTTTTGATTTTTAAATTCATTGTTTTTTTCTTTTTTTTTTTAATTTTTGGATATATTCGACTTTTTGAATTTTTGAGATTATTGAATTTTTTGGGTTCCTTTTTTTTTAGATTTCGTGGATCTATTACATTTTTGATTAATTTTCAAATTCATGGAATTTTTTGAATTATTGAATTTCTTGTTTTTTTTTATTTCTCCAGTTTTTTGAAGTTTTTGAATTGTTTATTTTTTTTTTAGATTTTTTAGGTTTGTTTTTTAAACTTGCTCCATTTTTGTATTATTTGGAATTTTGTTTGCTTTTTTTTTATTTTGATTTTTTTGAATTTTTGAAATATTTTGGAGTTCTTGAAGTCTGTTTAGTTTGTAGGGTTTCTTGGATTTTTTTGAACTTATAAATTCTTTAGTTTTTAATTCATTGAATTTATAAATTATTTTTTTATATATTTTTAATATTTTCGATTTTTTGGATTATCGGATTTCTTCAGTTTTGGGTTTTTGCACTTCTTAGGTTTTTTGGATTTTGTGGAATTTTTTAGAAATTTTTGCCTTTCGATTTTTTTTGGATTTGTGGATGTTTTCGATTTTTTGGATTATTGGAGTCTTTGAGTTTCTTGGGATTCTTCAATTTTTTAGATTTTTAAAATTTTTAAATTCTTTTAATTATTGGAACTCTTGAGATTCTAGGTTTTTTGGATTTCTTAGGTTTTTAGGGGTTTTTTGGATAGATTTGATTTTATGGATTATTGGAATTATTGGATTTCTCGAGTTTTTGGATTTTTTGAGTTTGTTTTTTTTTTATTTCTAATTTTTTGATGTTTGGGATTTTTTCGATTTTTTGAATTTTTGGACTTTGTGGAGTTCTCGAGTTCTTTTGAGTTTCTTAGTTTCTTCGATTTTCTATTTTTTTTTTTTAGTTTGTTTTTTGGACTTATTCCATTTTTGGATTATTTGGATATTTTTTGCTCTATTTTCTGATTTTTTGGATTTTTGAGATACATATATTCGATTTTTTGAGTTTATAATTTTTTTTGGATTGATTTTAATTTTTTGTTTTTTGATTTTTTGATTTTTTTTACAAATCTTCGCTTCATGGATTTTTGGATTTTTTGGGGTTTTTTGAATTTTTTGGAGATCTGTATTCGATTTTTTTGTGGTTTTTGGGAATTATAGGATTTCTTGATATTCTTGGGTTTTTGGATTTCTTCGTTTTTTGGATTTTTTTGGATATATTCGATTTTTTGGATTTTTGGTATCATTGGATTTCTTCGATTTTGGGGTTTTTGGATATATTCGATTTTTTGGATTTTTGGAATCATTGGGATTCTTGGTTTTGGATTTTTTGGGGTCTTTTGAATTTTTTTGACGATACATATTCGACTTTTAGGATTTTTGGAATTGTAGGATTTCTTGAGATTCTTGGGTTTTTTGGATATACGTATTCGATTTTTTTGGATTTTTGGAATTATTGGGTTTTTCAGTTACTTGGGTTTTTGGATTTTTTTCTTGGTTTGTTTTTTATTTATTTTTTTGATCTAATCCATTTTTGGATTTGGATAATTTTTATTTTTTTTCTGATTTTTTTTGATGTTTGGGAGATTTTCGATTTTTTGGATTTTTGGAATCATTGGGTTTCTTGGGTTTTTGGATTTTTTGGATATATTCGATTTTTTAGATTTTTGGAATCATTGGGTTTCTTGGGTTTTTGGACTTTTTTGGGTTTTTTGAATTTTTTTGGTGATACATATTCGACTTTTTGGATTTTTGGAATTGTAGGGTTTCTTGAGATTCTTGGGTTTTTGGAATTTTTTGGATACATTCGATTTTTTGAAATTATTGGGTTTTTAAGTTGCTTGGGTTTTTGGATTTTTTTTAGTTTGTTTATTTTTTTTTTGATCTAGTCCATTTTTGGATTTGGACAATTTTTACTTTTTTTTTTGATTTTCTGATTTTTTTTTGATTGGGATATTTTCGATTTTTTGGATTTCTGGAATTATTGGACTTCTTCAGTTTTTGGGTTTTTTTTGGATATATTCGATTTTTTTGGATTTTTGAAATCATTGGGTTTCTTGGGTTTTTGAATTTTTTGGGGTTTTTTGATTTTTTGGTGATACATATTCGACTTTTTTGGATTTTTGGAATTGTAGGATTTCTTGAGCTTCTTGGGTTTTTTGGATATATTCGATTTTTTGGATTTTTGGAATCATTGGGTTTCTTGGGTTTTTGGATTTTTTTGGTGATACATATTCCACTTTTTTGGATTTTTGGAATTGTAGGATTTCTTGAGATTCTTGGGTTTTTTGGATATATTCGATTTTTTGGATTTTTGGAATTATTGGGTTTTTTAAGTTGCCTGGGTTTTTGGATTTTTTTTTTGGTTTGATTTTTATTAATTTTTTTGATCTAGTCCATTTTTGGATTTGGATAATTTTTATTTGTTTTTTCTGATTTTCTGTGTTTATTTTTTGATGTTTGGGATATTTTCCATTTTTTTGGATTTTTGGAATTATTTTATTATTTATTATGATCACACCATTTTGATACACAAACTTCTACTCTACGGCGTTCGTGATCCTTTACTTTCATGGATTCAATCTTATATCAGTCATCGTGTACATTTTGTACAATTAATGAAGTTCAAGTCATCTACCTACGAATCAACATCTGGAGTTCCTCAAGGCTCGGTTATAGGACCACTTTTATTTAATATCTTCATTAACGATATCTGCTTGAATTTCAACTCAAATTCCTTACTGTATGCAGATGACTTGAAGTTATATAAGAAGATTGATTCCATGTATGACATAAATACTTTGACAAATGATCTTATATGTCTTAACGATTGGTGTAAACTCAATCATATGTCTCTTAACATTAAAAAATGCAAAGCAATGTGCTTTAGTCGCAAAAGTCGTCCCTCAGTTCCATTGTACCTACTAGAAAATACGCCCCTAGACATAGTTAGCAATGCCAAGGATTTGGGTATCTATTTAGACACTAAATTATCTTTCGTCAGTCACTGTGAATATGTTGTTTCTAGAGGTAGAAAACTTTTGGGGTGTTTAAAGCGGTGGACGGTGAACTTCAGTAACATCAGAACCATTCTGATATTATACTATTCGTTAGTCCGATCGATATTGGAATTCAATTGTGTCAACTGGTCACCGTTTTATATCACTCACATAAGCCGAATTGAAGCTGTCCAAGTCAAACTTTTAAAATATGTCAAATATAAGTTGTGTGGTGATGGTATTGTGTTAGCAGATACAGACCTTGTTGCATCTTATCTGTCAGTACATACACTAGAAAATCGTCGTAAGTATCACAAACTATGTTTTCTTTTTAAATTATTAAATGGTTTAATTGAAGCCCCCATATTGCTAGCGTTGGTAGGTCTTAATGTGTCAATCCGTAAGGTTCGTACGCCTAGGCTGTTTTTTATACCAGTTCATAAAACGAATTATGCATTACATTCGCCTCTAAATAGCGTTTTGATGATTGCTAACGAATGCAACACTTTAGAGTTTTTTGGTATCTCCCTCAACGCCTTCAAGAAAGAATGTCGCAAATTGTTACTATTATGTTAATATGAATTGTTATGTTAATATTTTGTTATGTACTTTATGTAATGCCTTTACATCTTTCGGCGTAATAAAGCACTATTATTATTATTATTATTATTTATTATTCGAGTTCTTGAATTCTTTTGAGTTTCTTCGGTTTCTTCGATTTTTTAGGTTTTTTGTAATTTTTAAATTCATGGAATTTCCGGAATTGGTGGATTTGTTGGGTTTTTGGATTTCTCCAGTTTTTGGGGGGTTTTTGATTAAATTTTTTAGATTTTTTTGAGTTTTTTGGATTTTTAGAGGTTTTGAGTTCAGTTTAGGTTCTTGGGTTTATAGAATTTTTTTGAATTTATAAATTCTTTTTTTTATTTTTTGGATATTTTCAATTTTTTGGATTATCCGATTTTTTTAGTTTCTTGGAGTTTTTGAATTTTGTGAAATTTTTTTAAAATCTTTGTTTTTCGGATTTTTTGGATTGTTTAAATTTGCGGGTATTTTCCATTTTTTTTTTGGTTTCGGAGTTATTGGGGTTTTTGAGTTTCTTGGGTTTCTTGAATTTTTTAGGTTTTTAAATTCTTGTGTTTATTGGATTTTTGAAATTGTTGGATTTCTTGAGGTTACTGTTTTTGAATTTTTTTGATTTGTCTTTTTTGTATAATTTGGAAAAATTTTGTTTGTTTTTTTATTTTCTGATTTTTTGGATATCTTCAATTTTTTGGATTATCGGATTTCTTGAGTTTTTACATTTCTTAGGTATTTTGGATTTTGTGGAATTTTTTAGAAATCTTTGCTTTTCTTGGGTTCTTTTGGATTTCTCCAATTTTTTGGGGTTTTTGGATTGTTAATTTTTTTTTTGTTTTTTTTTTGGTTTGTTTTTTGGATTTATTCCATTTTTGGATAGTTTGGATATTTTTTGAGTTCTTGAGTTCTGTTTAATTTCTTGTTTTTTAGATTTTTTGAAATTTTTTACAAATCTGCTTTATGGATTTTTGAATTTTTTGGAGATCCATATTCGATTTTTTTTTTTTTGGTTTTTGAGAATTATAGGATTTATTGAGATTCTTGGGTTTTTGGATCTTTTTGGATATATTCGATTTTTTGGATTTTATCATTGGATTTCTTCGGTTTTGGGATTTTTTTTTTAATTTTTTTGACGATACATATTCGACTTTTGGATTTTTGGAATTGTAAGATTTCTTGAGATTCTTGGGTTTTTTGGATATATGCATTCGATTTTTTTGGATTTTTGGAATTATTGGGTTTTTTGAGTTGCTTGGGTTTTTGGATTTTTTTTTTGTTTGTTGTTTATTAATTTTTTTGATTTAGCCCATTTTTGGATTTGGATAATTTTTATTTTTTTTCCTGATTTTCTGATTTTTTTTTTTTTGAGGTTTGGGATATTTTCAATTTTTTGGATTTCTGGAATTATTGAATTTCTTGAGATTCTTGGGTTTTTGAATTTCTTCGGTTTTTGTTTTTTTTTTGGATATATTCGATTTTTTGGATTTTTGAAATCATTGGGTTTCTTGGGTTTTTGGATTTTTTTGGTGATACATATTCGACTTTTTTGGATTTTTGGAACTGTAGGATTTCTTGAGATTCTTGGGTTTTTTTTTTAGATATATTCGACTTTTGGAATTGTAGGATTTCTTGAGTTTCTTGGGTTTTTGGATTTTTTGGGGTTTTTGGATTTTTTTTGTGATACATATTCCACTTTTTTGGATTTTTGGAATTGTAGGATTTCTTGAGATTCTTGGGATTTTTGGAATTAGTGGGTTTTTTAGGTTGCCTGGGTTTTTGGATTTTTTTTTTGGTTTATTTTTTATTAAATTTTTTGATCTATTGGATTTGGATTTTTTTTTTCTGATTTTCTAAGTTTATTTTTTAATGTTTGGGATATTTTCGATTTTTTGGATTTTTGGAATTATTTATTATTGTCAATTTTATGCATTCTGGCGTTCGTAGATACAAGAAAACTGTTAAAATTCTTCAGAAACGTCACTTTTGAAGTGTTTTCTTGTACTTTTAAGCCACTCAGATACCCTACGGGCTCGGAAAGTTCTTGAATTCTTTTGAGTTTCTTCGGTTTCTTCGATTTTTTATGGTTTTTGTAATTTTTAAATTCATGGAATTTTTGGAATTGGTGGATTTGTTGGGTTTTTGGATTTCTCCAGTTTTTTTGGGGTTCTTGGACTGTTTAATTTTTTTAGATTTTTTGAGTTTTTTTTGGATTATTTGGATTTTTTTTTTGCTTTTTTTTATTTTCTAATTTTTTGGATTTTTGAGTTCAGTTTAGTTTCTTGGGTTTATAGATTTTTTTTTAATATATAATTTTTTTTTATTTTTTGGATATTTTAAATTTTTTGGATTATCGGATTTTTGGAGTTTCTTGGACTTTTGCATTTCTTGGAGTTTTTGAATTTTGTGGAATTTTTTAAAAATCTTTGGTTTTCGGAGTTATTGGGGTTTTTTGAGTTTCTTGGGTTTCTTGATTTTTTTAGGTTTTTAAATTCTTGTGTTTATTGGATTTTTGAAATTGTTGGATTTCTTGAGGTTACTGTTTTTGAATTTTTTTGATTTGTCTTTTTTGTATAATTTGGAAAAATTTTGTTTGTTTTTTTATTTTCTGATTTTTTGGATATCTTCAATTTTTTGGATTATCGGATTTCTTGAGTTTTTACATTTCTTAGGTATTTTGGATTTTGTGGAATTTTTTAGAAATCTTTGCTTTTCGAACTTTTTAGATTGCTTGGATTTGTGGATATTTTTGATTTTTTGGCATTATTGGAGTTTTTTGAGTTTCTTGAATTTCTTAGAATTTTTAAATTTTTGTATTTATTGGATTTTTGAATTTCTTGGAAATACATCTTCGATTTTTGGGAATTATTGTAATTCTTGCGTTTATTCGGGTTTTGGTTTTGTTTTTTTGATAATCTCGAAAAATTTGGTTTTTTTATTATTGAGTTCTTGAGTTATTTTGAATTTCTTGGGTTTTTACAATTCTTGGACTTTTTTTAGAATTTCTCTTTTTTGATTTTTTGGATTTCTGGAATTATTGGATTTCTTGAGTTTCTTGGGATTTTTGCACTTTTTCGGTTTTTTGGATTTTTTGGGTTACTTTTTTTGGATTTATTCCATTTTTGGATTTGTGGATTTTTTGCTTTTTTTTTGTTTTCTGACTTTTGGAATACTTTCGATTTTTTTGGATTTTAGAATTATTGGAGTTCTTGAGTCTTTTTTTTTAATTTCTTGGGTTTTCTCTTGACGTAACTATGGCAACTATTCTTAATGCCCTAGGGTATTATTTGGTCAATAACGTACCTTATAGACCAATAATAAACCGGTAAGACATAATAGTTGATTATTTTATTTTAGTATGTAAATAATAAACCTAAAATGATGCCGATTTTTTGAAAGTTTGAAAAAGGTAATTCCTAAAAAAACTGTTCATTTAAAAACTCTATATTTACATGAAATGAAACTTGATCACCAAATTGTAAGTTTGACGTAATATTTAATTAAAAATTTTAAAAATGTTTTCGTTATTTCGGGTTAGAATATATCTTAAGATAGAGCAAATTAAAATAAAAACGAAAATTTTAGAAGAACGGTGTGCATCTAGAGAAAGTTTGTGAATGTTTGTGGATTTTCTGCTATTTTCTTAGATCATCATAGTATTTCCAACTTTCTGAAGACTTCCTCATACATTTATAACAAATAAAAATAATTACCTATTTCTTTCCAACCGAGAGCCAGAACTCGTGCACCTCGTCTCGACAGCGCCAAGTACACCTCGTCGTACTTTTCCGGAACGTCCGAATACATACTTCGTAAAGTCTCGGGTGCCCCTTTCACCGTCGCCATATAAATCGTCTCCGTCGACCCCATCTGGTTATACCCCGCAATCACCGACATACGTTTCAGCGACGACGAAAAATGATACCTTTGGAACACCTTCAACCCCGGCGATTTCCCCCGTTTCGGAATAACAGCGTCGGCCTTCGTCAAGTTCCAGTCAATCGCAGTCAAAGTCGCCTTCTCCAACGGGTCTCCGACCAACCCATCGTCCATCTGCACCAGCGAGTGACACGTGGCCAAAACGTGCACCGACTCCATCGGTACTTCGGTTATAGGGGTCACCGTGGAGTCGCTCTTGGCCAAAGCGATGCCTTCCACCACCAGATTGTCACTAGTCAGAGTCCCGGTTTTATCGAAACAACAGATGTCGATTTTACCGGCAAAGGGAATACGGAAGGGCTCCGTACAGAACACTCCGAGTTTCGAGAGAGCTAAGAGTGACGTGTTCACGGCGAGAGAGAGTTCGATGGGGAGCTCTGGGGGAATCACGGAAGTGAGGATGAGGGTGCACTCCAGGAAAAGCTTGTAGCGGTTGCGGTTGGGGTCTTCGCAACCCTTGTTCCAGACATAGGCGGCTGCGGCGATCGCAAAAATCAACAAAAACATGATGAACCCGAACGTTTCTTTGTTGTTGGCGGTGACTCTCTTCACCCCGAAGAGAATAGTGCGGAGGAGTTTTCCTTGCGAGGTGTTAAAACCAGTGCGTAGGACATAGGCGACGCAACCGTTGTCCTGTGGCCTTAAACCGGTCGTTGCTTTCGTCGGAGGTGTGTGTTGTACTACTTTAGTACCTCCGAATAACACGTGTAATTTTCCGTCCGAGTCCGGATCCAGCTCCTTCTTCAAGTCGGTGTTCTCGATAGCCTCCTTCATCTGTGGTACCGACTCCCCCGTCAGCATACTCTCGTCCACTATGCACGACCCCCTCAACAACAACACGTCGCACGGTACCAAATTATCCTTCTGCGACCTCGTGATCGAGATGATGTCACCCGGGATGAGTTCGTCCGACGGGATCGACCTCCATTTCCGGTTTCGGTACACCAGGATTCCGTACGGTTTGTTGCCCATTTTTCGGATCTCGGCCATGTTTCGGAGTTGTTGTTGGACGAGGGTGCATTCGAACATCACCAGCATGACTAGAGTGAAGATGGAGTAGTACCAGTACTTGTCGAGGCACCACAAGCCCACGCAGAATACTTGGAATACGAAGAAGGGGGCGGTGGCGCGCTCGATGAAGAGCTCCATGAACTCGGGGACGACCATGTCGAGCTGGTTCTTGTTGTAGAGCTGCTCGGCCTGCTGGATGTCCTCTTCTTCTTGGTAGCCTTTCCATGACATGTACTCGAAGTAGGGTTTGTGGATGGGGAATTCGAGGCCGCGGAAGGTCTTCTTGTCGGGGTCCCATAAGTATTTGGTTTTTTGGAAGATGAACCAGGTGGTCGATTTGGCATCCTGGAAGGAGATTTAGGAGTTTTATTTGACCTTTGATAACAGCGTTTTTTTTTTTAAACGTTTAACATAAAAATATCTGATTTTGTTGATTTTAATTTTTATTACTCCATTTTCTGTTAATTATTCATCAGTTCAAGTATTTTATAAGTCAACCTTGATCAGCTATAAAAAAATGGGTCGAAGGTTATTTCGACAGAACTTCCTTCGTTCCTGAAAGCAGACAACCAACGAGAAAAAATGCTTTTCAAAAAATCGAAATCAAGAAATTGATATAACAAAAAAAAATTTTAATCGAAAAACTTAAAAATTTTAAAATCAAAAATGTTTAAACTCGAACCCGAAATCCCAAAAATCGAAACATCAAAAAATCTAAAAATTAAAAAATTGAAAAATTCAGAAATTTAAAAATTCCCAAAATTGAAATATTGAAAAATTGAGAAATCAAGAATTCGAATAATGTAAAATTTAAAAAATTGAAAAATCAATAAACTTAAAAATTAAAAATTTAGGAAATATTAAGAATCGACAAATTGAAAAATCGAAATATTGAACCTAAAATTTAAAAATCGAAAGGTCGAAAAATTGAAAATACGAAAAATCTAAAATTTAATTAACGAAAAAGTCGAAAAATCGAAAAACCGATGAACTGAAACATCGAAAAATTGAAAAACTGAAACATCAAAAAATCGGGAACTCCAAAAGTCAAGAAAACAAAAAATCGAAAAATTGGGAAATCGCAATATAGCCCAAAATCAAAAAGTGATTTTTTTTTTGATTGAATAAAGATAGGAAAAAACGAAAAAGCTAAAAAACTCCCGAAACTGAAATACTGAAAAACTGAAAATTCGGAACATCGAAAAGTTGGAAAATCGGAAAGGTTAAAAGTCAAAAAATCTAAAAGTCAAGAAGTCGAAAAACGGAAAAATACAGAAATCGAAACAGCCCCAAATCCAAAAGTAAAAAATTGAGAAAATTAAAAGATTTGAAATTTAAAGAAAAATTAAAAAATTGAAAAATCAAAAAATTGAAATAATTTAAAAACCAAAAAATTTAAAATCTAAAACCGAAAAGGCGAAAAATCAAAACATTCAGAAATCGAAGCATCAAAAACTGAAAGACATAAAATTTGAAAATACAAAAAATTGAACAATTAAAATATCTAAAAATTGAAGCACGAAAAATGGAAAAATCGAAACAAGAAAAACATCGAAAAATTGCAGAATGAAAAACCTAAAATTTAAAAAATAAAAAATCGAAAAATTGAGAAACCGAAAAATTGAAGAATGGAAATATTGAAAAATGCCGAAACTAAAGTATCAAAAAATTGAAAAAATCGAAAATTTGAAGAAACTTAAAAAACTGAATTATTAATGAAAATCTGAAAAATCGAAAAACTGGAATTGAACAACTGAAAAATCGAGAAGTCGGAAAAGTCGAAAAACCAAAAAATTAAAAAATAGGGACTGTTTCGATTTTTGGATTTTTTGGTTTTTCGACTTTTCCGACTTCTCGATTTTTCAGTTGTTCAATTCCAGTTTTTGGATTTTTCAGATTTTCAATTATTCCGTTTTTTAAGTTTTCGTTTCTTCAAATTTTCGATTTTTCGGTTTTTTCAATTTTTTGATACTTTAGTTTCGGCATTATTCAATATTTCCATTCATCAATTTTTCGATTTTTTATTTTTTAAATTTTAGGTTTTTCATTCTGCAATTTTTCGGTGTTTTTCTTGTTTCGATTTTTCCATTTTTCGTGCTTCAATTTTTAGATATTTTAATTGTTCAATTTTTTGTATTTTCAAATTTTAAGTTTTTCAGTTTTTGATGCTTCGATTTCTCAATGTTTCGATTTTTCGACTTTTCGGTTTTAGATTTTTAATTTTTTGGTTTTAAAATTGAGAAACCGAAAAATTGAAGAATGGAAATATTGAAAAATGCCGAAACTAAAGTATCAAAAAATTGAAAAAATCGAAAAATCGAAAATTTGAAGAAACGAAAACTTAAAAAACTGAATTATTAATGAAAATCTGAAAAATCGAAAAACTTAAATTGAACAACTGAAAAATCGAGAAGTCGGAAAAGTCGAAAAACCAAAAAATTCAAAAATCGAAACAGTCCCTAATCGAAAAGTAAAAAATTGAAAAAATTAAGATTTGAAATTAAAAAAAAATCGAAAAATCGAAAAATTGGACAATCATAAAATTGAAAAACCGAAAAATCTAGAACCGAGAAGTCGAAACTCGAAAGATCAAGAGATCGAAGCATCAAAAAACTGAAAAACCTAACATTTAAAAAATTGAAAAATAGAAATATCGAAGAATTCAAAAATCGAGAAAACAAAAAATCTAGTATTTAAAAATCGAAAAATTGAAAAATCGAAGAAAAATTGATTAATCGAGAAATCGAAATATCCAAAAATTAGGAAATTGAAAAATCTAATATTTAAAAGTCCAAACACTGAAGAATCGAAATTTGAAAAATTCCAAAACTGAAATATCAAAAAATTGAAAAATCGAAAAAAAAATGAGGAGCCGAGAAATTTTAAAATGCCAAATCCGAAACATCGGTAAAGTGAGAAATCGAAAGTTTAAAAATCGAAAAATCATGACCTGAAAAAACTAGAAATCGAAAAGTCCAAAAACCAAAAGATCGATTAGTCGGGAAATTGAAAAATCGAAAATTTAAAAATATCAAAAATCGAAAAAAATGAAAAAATCCAGAAATCGAAAATTTGAAGAAACCAAAACCTGGAAAATCAAAAAATTGAAAAAACCCAAAAATTGATGAATTAAAAACTGAAAAATTTAATAAATTGAGAAATCAAAAAGTCGAAAAACCAAAAAATCTATTAGTCCACAAATTGAAAAATCGAAAATTTAGAAACGTCAAAAATTGAAAAAAAAAAACTGAAACATTTTTTAACACCAATAAATTACTAATTGGAAAATTGTGGAATCGAAAAATGAAAAAAAAACGAAAAACTGGAATTGAACAACTGAAAAATCGAGAAATCGTGAAATCGAAAAGTCGAAAAACCTAAAAATTCAGAAATCGAAACAGCCCCAAATCGAAAAGTAATAAAAATTGAAAAAAATTACGATTTGAAATTTAAAAAAATTATCGAAAAACTGAAAAATTGAACAATCGTAAAATCGAAATATGTATTGAAGTCTCGATAAATGGAACAATTTTAAAACCGAAAAATTGAAAAATCAAAAATTTTCGAAATCTAAATTGAAATACCGAAAAATCTAAAATCGAGAAGTCGAAAAACTGAGAAATCGAAGCATCAAAAACTGAAAAACTTAAAATTTAAAAATACGAAAAATTGAAAAATAGAAATATCGAAGAACTGAAATCAAAAAATCATTTTAATAATTGAAAAATTAAAATGTGGAAAAATGGAAAAATCGACAAATCGAAAGAAAAAAATCGAAAAAGTAAAAAAGTCGAAAAAAATTGAAAAATGGAAATATGTATTGAAAAATCCCAAAACTCAAATGTCGAAAAATTGAGAAACCGAAACATCGAAAAATTGAAAAATCGATAAATCGAAACATCAAACAATTGAAAAATTTAATTAAAAATGGAGAAATTGAAGAATAGAAATGGAAAATCCCAAAACTGAAGCATGAATAAATTGAAAAATCGAAACTTTAAAAACAGAAAAATCGAAAAATCAAGGACCTGAATAATCGAAAAATCAAGAAACGAAAAGTCGAAAAACCAAAAGATCGATTAATCGAGAAATTAAAAAATCGAAAACTTAGAAACGTCAAAAATCAAAAAATTGAAAAACTGAAACATGGGAAAATTGAGAAATGGAAAAATGAAAAAATGGGGATTCGAAATTTTGAATAAACGAAAACCTAAAAAATGAAAAAGCAAAAAATTTAAACATTCAAGAATTGAACAATTGAAAAACTGAAAAATTAAAAACTTGAATATATCAAGAAATTGAAGACTCGAAAAAGCAAAAAATCTATTAATCAACAAATTCAAAAATTGTAAAACTGAGACATTGGGAAATTGTGATATCAAAAAATGAAAAAAATCGAGAAATCGAAAATTTGAAGAATGGAAAACATGAAAACAACTGGAACTGAACAACCGAAAAATTGAAAAGTAAAAAATTGAAAATTTTAAGATTTGAAATTAAAAAAAAAATCGAAAAATTTAAAACCGAGAAGTCGAAAAATTGAAAGTTGGAGAAATCGCAGCATCAAAAAACTGAAAAACCTAAAATTTCAAAATACGAAAAATTGAAGAACTAGAAATATCGAAGAACTGAAAAATCGAAAAATAAAATAATCCAAATTTTAAAAATTGAAAAATCAAAATATCGAAAAATTGAAGAACGCAAAATGGAAAAATCGAGAAATCAAAACAAGAAAAAAATCGAAAAATTGAAGAAAGAAAAATCTAAAATTGAAAAATTAAAAAATCCAAACACTAAAAATAAAATTGGGAAAGTAAGTAAAATCTTATATTTAAAAATCGTAAAGTAGAAGAATCGAAAAATTGAAAAATCTAATTAAAAGTCGAAGAGTTGAAGAATGGAAATCTTGAAAAATGCCAAAACTAAAAAAAAATTGAAACATGTGAAACTTAAAAAGTTGAAAAATCAATAAACTTAAAAATCAAAAATTTAGGAAATATTAAGAATCAAAATATTGAACCTAAAATTTAAAAATCGAAAAATTGAAAAATCGAAAAGGCAAAAAGTCGAAAAATCGAAAAACCGATGAACTGAAACATCGAAAAATTGAAAAACTGAAACATCAAAAAATCGGGAACTCCAAAAGTCAAGAAAACATAAAATCGAAAAATTGGGAAATCGCAATATAGCCCAAAATCAAAGTGATTTTTTTTTTTTTAATTGAATAAAGATAAGAAAAAATGAAAAAGCTAAAAAACTCCCAAAACTGAAATACTGAAAAACTGAAAATTCGGAACATCGAAAAGTTGGAAAATCGGAAAGGCTAAAAGTCAAAAAATCTAAAAGTCAAGAAGTCGAAAAACCGAAAAATACAGAAATCGAAACAGCCCCAAATCCAAGAGTAAAAAATTGAGAAAATTAAGATTTGAAATTTAAAGAAAAATAAAAAAATCAAAAAATTGAAATAATTTAAAAACCAAAAAATTAAAAATCTAAAACCGAAAAGTCGAAAAATCAAAACATTCAGAAATCGAAGCATCAAAAACTGAAAGACATAAAATTTGAAAATACAAAAAATTGAACAATTAAAATATCTAAAAATTGAAGCACGAAAAATGGAAAAATCGAAACAAGAAAAACATCGAAAAATTGCAGAATGAAAAACCTAAAATTTAAAAAATAAAAAATCGAAAAATTGAGAAACCGAAAAATTGAAGAATGGAAATATTGAAAAATGCCGAAACTAAAGTATCAAAAAATTGAAAAAATCGAAAAATCGAAAATTTGAAGAAACGAAAACTTAAAAAACTGAATTATTAATGAAAATCTGAAAAATTGAACAACTGAAAAATCGAGATGTCGGAAAAGTCGAAAAACCAAAAAATTCAAAAATCGAAACAGTCCCTAATCGAAAAGTAAAAAATTGAAAAAATTAAGATTTGAAATTAAAAAAAAAATCGAAAAATTGGACAATCATAAAATTGAAAAACCGAAAAATCTAGAACCGAGAAGTCGAAACTCGAAAGATCAAGAGATCGAAGCATCAAAAAACTGAAAAACCTAACATTTAAAGATACGAAAAATTGAAAAATAGAAATATCGAAGAATTCAAAAATCGAGGAAACAAAAAATCTAGTATTTAAAAATCGAAAAATTGAAAAATTCCAAAACTCAAGTATCGAACTATTGAAAAATCGAAGAAAAATTGATGAATCGAGAAATCGAAATATCCAAAAATTAGGAAATTAAAAATCTAATATTTAAAAATCGCGAAGTCCAAACACTGAAGAATCGAAATTTGAAAAATTCTAAAACTGAAATATCAAAAAATTGAAAAATCGAAAAAAAAAATGAGGAGCCGAAAAATTTAAAAATGCCAAATCCGAAACATCGGTAAAGTGAGAAACCGAAAGTTTAAAAATCGAGAAATCGAAAAATCAGAACCTGAAAAAACTAGAAATCGAAAAGTCCAAAAACCAAAAGATCGATTAGTCGGGAAATTGAAAAATCGGAAATTTAAAAATATCAAAAATCAAAAAATTGAAAAATCGAAAAACTGAAATATCGAAAAATGAAAAAATCCAGAAATCGAAAATTTGAAGAAACCAAAACCTGGAAAATCAAAAAATTTAAAAAACCCAAAACTTGATGAATTAAAAACTGACAAATTTAATAAATTGAGAAATCAAAAAGTTGAAAAACCAAAAAATCTGTTAGTCCACAAATTGAAAAATCGAAAATTTAGAAACGTCAAAAATTGAAAAATGGGAAAACTGAAACATTTTTTAATACCAATAAATTACTGATTGGAAAATTGTGGAATCGAAAAATGTAAAAAACGAAAAACTGGAATTGAACAACTGAAAAATCGAGAAATCGTGAAATCGAAAAGTCGAAAAACCTAAAAATTCAGAAATCGAAACAGCCCCAAATCGAAAAGTAATAAAAATTGAAAAAAATTACGATTTGAAATTTAAAAAAATTATCGAAAAAAAGAAAAATTGAACAATCGTAAAATCGAAATATGTATTGAAGTCTCAATAAATGGAACAATTTTAAAACCTAAAAATTGAAAAATCAAAAAATTTTCAAAATCAAAATTGAAATACCGAAAAATCTAAAATCGAGAAGTCGAAAAACTGAAAAACCTAAACTTTAAAAATACGAAAAATTGAAAAATAGAAATATCGAAGAACTGAAATCAAAAAATCATTTTAATAATTGAAAAATAAAATGTGGAAAAATGGAAAAATCGACAAATCGAAACAACAAAAAAATCGAAAAAGTAAAAGTCGAAAAAAATTGAAAAATGGAAATATGTATTGAAAAATCCCAAAACTCAAATGTCGAAAAATTGAGAAACTGAAACATCGAAAGGTGAAAAAATAGAAGAATCGAAAAATTGAAAAATCGATAAATCGAAACATCAATCAATTGAAAAATTTAGTTAAAAATGGAAAAATTGAAGAATAGAAATGGAAAAATAGAAGAATCGAAAAATTGAAAAACCGATAAATCGAAACATCAAACAATTGAAAAATTTAATTAAAAATGGAAAAATTGAAGAATAGAAATGGAAAATCCCAAAACTGAAGCATGAATAAATTGAAAAATGGAAACTTTAAAAACAGAAAAATCGAAAAATCAAGGACCTGAATAATCGAAAAATCAAGAAACGAAAAGTCGAAAAACCAAAAGACCGATTAATCGAGAAATTAAAAAATCGAAAACTTAGAAACGTCAAAAATCAAAAAATTGAAAACCTGAAAAATGAAAAAGCAAAAAATTTAAACATTCAAGAATTGAAGAATTGAAAAACTGAAAAATTAAAAACTTGAATATATCGAGAAATCGAAGACTCGAAAAAGCAAAAAATCTATTAATCAACAAATTGAAAAATTGTAAAACTGACGACATTGGAAAATTGTGATATCAAAAAATGAAAAAAACCGAGAAATCGAAAATTTGAAGAATGGAAAACATGAAAACAACTGGAATTGAACAACCGAAAAATTGAAAAGTAAAAAATTGAAAATTTTAAGATTTGAAATTTAAAAAAATCGAAAAATTGAAAAATCGAAAAATTTAAAACCGAGAAGTCGAAAAGTCGAAAGTTGGAGAAATCGCAGCATCAAAAAACTGAAAAACCCAAAATTTCAAAATACGAAAAATTGAAGAACTAGAAATATCGAAGAACTGAAAAATCGAAAAATAAAATAATCCAAATTTTAAAAATTGAAAAATTAAAATATCCAAAAATTGAAGAACGCAAAAAGGAAAAATCGAGAAATTAAAACAAGAAAAAAATCGAAAAATTGAAGAAAGAAAAATCTAAAATTGAAAAATTAAAAAATCCAAACACTAAAAATAAAATTGGGAAAGTGAAAAATCCTATATGTATTTAAAAATCGTAAAGTAGAAGAATCGAAAAATTGAAAAATCTAATTAAAAGTCGAAGAGTTGAAGAATGGAAATCTTGAAAAATGCCAAAACTCAAATCTGGAAAAATTGAAAAATCGAGAAATTACAAAAACCAAGAAGTCAAAAACTGAAAAAATTGAAAAATCGTAAAACCAAAACATCGGAAAATTGTGTTATCGAAAAATGAAAAAATTGAGAAATCAAGAATTTTAGGAATCAAAAATGGAAAAATTGGAATTGAACGACTCACAAATCGGAAGTCAAGACATCGAAAAGTCCAAAATTTACAAACGTCAATCTGGAGATGACGTCATGGTGGGGACAGACGGCAGACAGACAAACAGAAACAGGAGACCTATTTTTTCGCACTCTAGCGGTCATGAAACGTCAAGAAAACATGAAAGCAGCCGGTCAATAAATAAAAATAAATTATTATGCGTTTGCCACCCACACAAGTGGACCTGAAATTATCCTACTTTTTTTTCAAACCTGACCCATAGCAACCACTCAAAAGAACGATACCAAAACATGTTATTTACGTAATGAACAATAGAATTTTATTACCATATTAAGTGAAATTGCCATGATATATTCATGTTGTCTTAATGGGGTAATGAAATGTAAAAATGCCAATTTGGGGCTATCAATTCATAAACGGTTATGGTAATACCAAGAAATATCACTTGATGAGCACGCATTTCCCGTTAATGATTTGTGACATTTTGGAAATACTAATTTAAAAACTGAAAATATACAGGGTCATTGTCCCTTCAAAATTTTCTACAATTAATCTCTAAAACTTACTTAGGTTTACTGTTTGTGTACAGTCATTCACACTTAATTCATTTATTACTATGGTAAATATTCAAATATACACAATCCTGTGCAAATAACGTCCACGACAGCATCACAGACGTTTCATAAAATCAACCACATGACCAACAAACACCACATGTAAAAATCAATATCGATACACTACAAACTCACTTTACTATGCTGCAATCGGACCAGCTCAGACGAGCCATTATTCGCCGTGGGCACGACCTTTGCCACAGTCGCCTTCAAGGGATCCTTCTCCTACAAAAAGCCCGTTAGAACCGCCTCAGGTGCCACCTTTCAACCTACCTTCCGACATGTGAAAAAGCAGTTCACATGGACGGACCAATAACACGCCAAACAGCACAAAATCTGCACACAACCTATTACCGCTAAACCCACGAAACCCCCCTCATAGTGTTCTAAAAACCCGTAAATACCACACCACACGTAAATCCAGCCTGTATAAATAAATATGAACGGGAGAACGTACAAGTGAAATAAAGTCCCTTTCTGAGTGTATAATGAGACGGATTGCACCAAATCATCCAGTTTCGTAGTTACACTCATCGTTTTTGATTAATTTTTTGAAGATGATTCGGCCGACTGACACATATGTGAGAAATTTTTGACAGATTTGGCAGGATTTTGTCAACAGGTTAACGAGCGGACGCGATCGGCAAGCACGCCGCCGCGTTGACAAGTGACAGAAATATAACCAAAGTTCCTAGATTTCCCTCTTGGAACTAAGTAAAAATTGAAAGCAACGGAACTTAATTAATAAGAAAACAACAGTTTTGTTAAATATTTTATTCCTTTTTTTTGTGGTCAATGATTACAACATCACTGTATTTATAACCAATGCCGGGGCTTTGCGCATTTTGTATTAAACGAAGTCCACTTCCAAGGTCACCAGGCTCTCAGTCATGGAACCTGCAAAGACACCAAATATAAGTACACGGGTCTCGAATTTGATCACATTGTTTCACAAATATAGACTATAGCGCCCACAGACGAGCGCCACAGGTGGATATTGTGACTTTTCTTTCACCCTTCTGTGAATATAACACACTTGGGAACATGTGTTAGAGTTCACCAGGGTTGACTAAATCTACGGTCGGTCGGTGCGTACTTACGTTATGTCTACTTAGACCTCGCACGCATCTTCCTGCGCTTTCGCTTTAGCCTTCGCATACGCTTCTTACGCCACTGGAAACGAAAAAACACAAATTAGAAAAAGTTAGGTTATGTTACGATAAAGCTTAAAAACTTGCAAAAAGTGCACGCAAATCCCGTTATTACAACACTAATGATTACTAAAGAATAATAACAACGGCACGTGACTCTACCGTCGTTAATAAACACAAAATAAACGTTTTTCCTATCACCAAAAATGAAGTTTTACGAAAAAATTTTTTTCTGGATATTTGTACTAAATGCAGAAAAAATGTAACGATAAAACTCACCTTTGCTCTCATGTCGTGCTGTTTAAAGAAGTTCCAGCCGAAAAAGCTAGAAGATTCTTAAAATAACAGCAGAATTCGAACGTGAACCTCACGCAACAAACAACAAGAATGAAAGAGGACGAGGAAGCTTGCGATGAAGTTCTCGATGTTTATTGGTCGATTGCAAGAAATGGCCGCTAGAGGGCCAGCATCCGGGCGCCAAGTTTAAATCTTGACAACTTTTTATACATTTAAAATTTTAACAGCCAAAATGTGTTTTGTTGTAATGAAATTGGTAATTGGAAATCGTCATGTCTAAATTTAGTGAATCATTTTTACAATCAATAAACATTAAATAATCAAAACTATCAAAAAGAAATGTTTTGTGGACAGAAAGAAATTAGTTCATGAGTAGCTTTCACTTTGTCGTGAACCTGTTCTGCATAATGGGTTGTATACACGAAATATTTTCAACATCAATTTTTTGGGAAGAGATAAAAGAAAAAATTTAGATTAAAGATTTACATAATTACAATAAGTTTAAAACGTTTGCAAGATTTCAGAGCATTCGGTTTTACAGTTTCAAAGTTGAATTGCAAAATGTTAAACAAGTTTGATTTTTTTCAAAAATCTGGATGTCCAGGGTGAAAACTCTTATTTTAAAAAATTAAAAACATTTTTACTTCTGTAAATTTTCGAGATGACGTCATCCTATTGATGGTGGGGATGATTAGCCAAATTTTAGTTAGCGTTTTACTATCTAAATAATAGTCCTGATATACATACAAAATTTGAGAAGTCCAAAAATCGAAAGATCGAGAAATCGAAACATCAAAAAACTGAAAAATCTAAAGTTTAATAAACATTCGAAAAATTGAAAAATAGAAATATCGAAGAACTGAGAAATCGAAAAATTCAGGTTTTAAAAAATGAAAATTAAAAAATCCAGAAATCGAAACATCGAAAAATTGGAAAAAATCCAAAAACTGAAACATCGAAAAATTAAAAAATCTAAGAAAAATTGAAAAATGAAGAAATGAAAAATTCAGAACTCGATACATTGAAAAATTGGTAAATTGAAGAATTTAATATTTAAAAATGGAAAAATAGAAAAATCAAAACAGTAAAAAATCGAGAAATCGAAACATTAAAAAATCGAAAAAATGAAAAATCGAAAATGTAAAAATGAGAAATCAAAAAATCGAAGAAAAATTGAATAATCGGAAAATTCAAGAACTGAGAAAGTGAAAAATTGAAAAATCTCATATCTAAAATATCGAAAAACTGAAAAATCGAAATATTAAAAATCCCAAAACTGAAATATCGAAAAATTGAAAAATCGAATAAAAATTGAGGAAAAGAAAAAAATTAAAAATTCTAAAACTGAAACATCGGTAAATTGAGAATTCGAAACTTTAAAAATCGAGAAATCGAAAATTTAGAAACGTCAAAAACTGAAAAATCGAAAAATTGAAACATCGGATAATTGAGAAATCGAAAAATGAAAAAAGCGAGAAATCAAAAATTTAAGATGCGAAAACGTGAATAAATCAAAAAATTAGAAAATTCAAAAATTGAAGAATTGAAAAACTGAGAAATTGGGGAATTGAAGAGTCGAAAAACCAAAAAATCGATTAATCGAGAAACTGAAAAACTGAAAAGTCGAGAAGTGGAAAAACCGAAAAATTCAGAAATCGGAACAGTCCCAACTCGAAAAATAACAATTTTTTAAAATTAAGATTTGAAATTAAAAAAAAATTGAAAAATCAAGAAATTGAACAATCGAAATATCGAAATCTCGATAAATCGAGTAAGGGAAAAATTGAAAAATCCGAAAATTTAGAAACCGAAAAATTGTAAAATCGAGAAATGTTAAAAATCCTAAAATTGAAAACCCAAAAAATCTAAAACCGAGAAGTCGAAAAATCGAAAAATTGAGAAATCGAAACATCAAAAAACTGAAAAACCTAAAATTTAAAATTACGAAAAATTGAAAAACAGAAATATCGAGAAATTAAAAAATCTAAATTTTAAAAAGTGAAAAATTAAAATATCGAAATATTGAAGAACAAAAAATGGAAAAGTCGATAAATCGAAACAAAAATTCTAAGAAAAATTGAAAAATCGGAGAAATATTGAAAAATCCCAAAACTGAAATATCGAAAAATTAAAAAATCTACGAAAAAATGAAGAATAGAAAAATTGAAAAATCCAGAATTCGATAGATCGAAAATTTGGGAAATTGAAGAATCTAATATTTCAAAATGGAAAAATAAAAAATTAGAACAGTAAAAAATCCAGAAATCGAAACATTAAAAAATCGAAAAAATGAAAAATCGAAGATGTAAAAACGAGAAATCAAGAAATCGAAGAAAAATTGTGGAATCGAAAAATTGAAGAATTGAGAAAGTGAAAAATTGAAAAATCGAAACAGCGAAAAGTCGACAAATCCAAAATTGAAAAATCTCAAGTCTAAAATATCGAAAAACTGAAAAATCCCAAAACTGAAATATCGAAAAATTGAAAAATCGGAAAATTGAGAAATCGAAAAATGAAAAAAGCGAGAAATCAAAAATTTAAGATGCGAAAACCTGAAAAATCAAAAAATTTAAAAATCCAAATATTGAAGAATTGAAAAACTGAAAAATTGGGAAATCGAAGAGTCGAAAAACCAAAAAATCGATTAATCGAGAAACTGAAAACCTGAAAAGTCGGGAAGTGGAAAAACCGAAAAATTCAGAAATCGAAACAGCCCCAACTCGAAAAATCAAGAAATTGAACAATCGAAATATCGAAATCTGGATAAATCGAGAAAGGGAAAAATTGAAAAATCCGAAAATTTAGAAACCGAAAAATTATAAAATCGAGAAATGTTAAAAATCCTAAAATTGAAAAACCAAAAAATCTAAAACCGAAAAATTGAAAGATTGAGAAATCGAAACATCAAAAAACTGAAAATCCTAAAATTTAAAATTACGAAAAATTGAAAAACAGAAATATGGAGAAATCAAGAAATCTAAATTTTAAAAAGTGAGAAATTAAAATATCGAAAAATCGAAACAACAAAAATTCGAAGAAAAATTGAAAAATCTAGAAATTGAAAAATCGGAGAAATATTGAAAAATCCCAAAACTGAAATATCGAAAAATTAAAAAACCTAAGAAAGAATGAAGAATAGAAAAATTGAAAAACCCAGAATTCGATAGATCGAAGATTTGGGAAATTGAACAATCTAATATTTAAAAATGGAAAAATAAAAAAATCAAAACAGTAAAAAATCCAAAAATCGAAATAATGAAAAATCGAAGCTGCATAAACGAGAATTAAAAAAATCGAAGAAAAATTGTAGAATCGAAAAGCTGAAAAATTGGGAAATCGAAACATTGAGAAATTGGAAAATTGAAAAATGTTATTTGAAAATCGAAATAGTAAAAAATCGAGAAATTGAAAAGTCGAAAAATTAGAGAATTGAAAAATCGAGAAATCGAAAATTCAAAAAATCTAAAAACTGAAAAATCTATTTAAAAATACAAAAATTGAAGGATGGAAACATTGAAGAATTCCAAAATTAAAGTATCGAAAAAACGAAGAAGAAATGAAAAATCCTGAAATCGAAAATGTAAAAACGAGAAATCAAAAATTGAAGACAAATTGAAGAATCGGAAAATTCAAGAATTGAGATAGTGAAAAATCGAAAAATCCAGAAATCGAAAATTGAAAATTTTTAAAACTGACATCGAAAAATTGAAAAATAGAAGAAAAATTGAAGAATCGAAAAATTGATAAATCGAGAAATCGAAACATCGAGAAATTGGGAAATTGAAAAATCGGGAAATGAAAATTACAAAAAATCGAAAAAATTAAAAATCGACAGTGTAGAAACGAGAAATGAAAAAATTGAAGAAAAAGTGAAGAATCGAAAAATTCAAGAATTGAGAAAGTAAAAAATCGAAAAATCGAGAAGTTGAAAAGTCGTCGGGAAATCACGAAAACGAAAACTGAAAAATCAAAGAAAAATTGAAAAATCGAGAAATGGAAACTTCAAAAATCTATTTAAAAATTCAAAAATTGAAGTATCGAAAAATTGAAAAATCGAAAAATCGATATGTCGAAAAAATGAAAAATCTATTATTTAAAAATCGAAAAATTTAAAAAAACCCAAAATTAAAATATCGAAAAATTAAAAAATTGAGAAATCGAAAAGGCAAAAATCTAAAATTTAAAAATCAAAAAAGTGAAAAATCCAAAAATCGAAGCAGAATTGAAGAATCGAAAATTGAAATAATCGGGAAATCGAAACATCGAAAAATTCGGAAAGCAAAAAGTAAAAAAATCGGGAAGACACAAAAACGACAAATGAAAGAATCGAAATATTGAAAGGTCCCAGAACTGAAACATCAAAAAATTGAAAAATTGAAGAATTAAACAGTTTTACAGTTTCAAATTTAAATTACTAAATGATGTCATACAATTTCGATTGTTTTCCAAAAATCTGAATATTTATGGTGAAAATTCAACATGGATTCATATACCCCAAGTGTAGGAGTATCTTATTTTATAAAATTAAAAACAATTTTACCACCGTAAATTTTGGAGATGAGGTCATCCGATTGGTGGTGGGAATGATTAGCCAAATTTTTTTACCATATATACATGATAGTCCTGACATACATATAACATTTGACAACAATCGGTCCGGTAGTTCCGGAAATTATCTGTCCAATAAAAATCGACAGTTAGTTGGGATCACTACTGACCTAAAATATCGTTTAAGACAGATGAAAATAAAAATTACAAAAAATAGGTAGTTCTAAATAAATGTTACAAGTGAAGTGCCACGATGAACAACAATTTGAGCGTTGTAGTTGGGTTGGCTTTACAGGAATCTGTAATTTGTTTATGTCATTATTTTAATTTTTCTAGTACATTTTCACCTCAAAGTTATAATTCTTTCACCAAATAATTTCGTCAACAAACGTACCCTTTCTGGTTCCAACAAACTTTTCTCCACGACCCTTTAAATTTTAAACGTCATCGTTTGTTTACGTGATCACGTGACCCCCAACCTTGGCGGGAACCCGTCAAATGTCATTAGCAAAAGTGGCGGTTCAAACCATCCCAGGCCCATTAAAGTGCCATTATCAACCCCCATTTAGCAAACCAGTGGTAAACATCATTAAAACTCCTTCTATAAACACGAGAAGCAAACATTTCCACCAGTTCCATTCAACTTTCGGGCACGCAGACACCCAACCCCAAAATGACTGAAGAAGCCCCCAGGCGCTCCCGACGACTCCTCAAGAAGCAAACCACCACCCCAGCCGACTCGTTTTCAACATCCAGAAGACACGTAAACAAACCCCCTTTGATTATTCTTTCGGAAAGCGACGACGACGAGGTTGTTTACTTAGGCCCGAAGCCCCCATTGATGGTCGACTTGACGGCAAGCCCCCTCGTGACGAAGCACGACAAGTCGCCCCTGAAGTCTCCTTTTAAGGAGCCCGCGCAGAGTAAGTCGCCTTTCAAGGAGCCCCCACGAACGCCGCAGAAGTCGAAGTCGAAGAGTGCGGACGAGCGGCTGGTGACTCCGCCTAAACAAAGAAAGAGCAACTCGGGTAATAGTGAGAATGTGCCGGCGACGCCGCCTACCACCCCGACTGTGTTACTCGAGCGGTTGTCTTTAGTGGGTTCTGAGGAGAAAAACCGGAGGAAGTTGTTTCAGGAGACGGATTTGTATGCGAGTGCGAGGAGGGCTTTGCATAGCACGTGCCCCACGACGATGCCGGGACGACAGAAGGAATTGGGGGAGTTGAGGGAGTTTATTTTGGGGAATTTGGATGAGGGTAAGTCCGGGACTCTTTATATTAGTGGACCCCCCGGGACTGGGAAGACGGCGTCCTTGAATTTGATTCTGGAAGATGAGAGAGTGAGGAACGAGATTAGGGAAGTTTATGTTAATTGCACGTCGATTAAGTCGTCGGGGGCGATTTTTGCCAGGATTGCGAAGGATTTAGGGGTGAAAGTGAATAGCAAGAGTGAGAAAGATTGTGTTGGGGCTATTGAAAAGTATTTTCAGAAGAGTCAGAAAACAACGTAAGTATTGATACAATAATATAATCACATTATGTGGCAACACAATTTCGAGCAACTTTTTTGTTTCATTCTAGGTTACTAGTTCTGGACGAAATCGACCAACTCGAAAGTAAAAAACAGTCCGTTTTGTACACCATCTTCGAGTGGCCCGCTACCCCCAACTCCAAACTCATCCTCGTCGGCATCGCCAACGCTCTCGACCTCACCGACCGCATCCTCCCTCGACTCCAAGCCCGCTGCGAGCTCAAACCCCAACTCATGCACTTCGCCCCCTACACCAAACAACAAATCGTGGAGATCTTCACCGACAGGCTGCGGAGCGCCGGCGTCCTGGACATCTTCTCCCCCATAGCTTTGCAGATGCTCGCCGGTAAGGTGGCCGCCGTCTCCGGAGACGTGCGCCGAGCCCTCGACATCGGCCGCCGAGTCGTGGAAATGATCGACAAACGCAAAAAAAGCAGCGACAATGTACTAAAGTCCGTGGAGAACCTCGCCGAGGAGCTGGACGACGAGGCCAACACCGAGAAGATCGACACCGTCGACCTGAAGCAGGTCGTCAGTGTGCTGAATAACGTGTACGGGACGACGCAGAGCTTCGACGATGAGGCCGACGACGCGTTTCCTCTGCAGCAGAAGATCGTGGTTTGTTGCTTGTTGTTGATTTTGAAGAAGGCGAAGAATAAGGACGTGACGGTGGGGCGGCTGCACGATGTGTATAGGAGGGTGTGCGGGAAGAGGAACATTCAGGTGGTGGACCAAGGGGAGTTCGTGGGGGTGTGTGCGTTGATCGAGACGAGGGGGATTGTGAAGATTATTAGGAAGAAGGATCCGAGGATGAACAAGGTGGGGTTGGTGTGGGACGAGGAGGAGGTGGCGGGGGCTTTGAGGGACAAGCAGCTGATGTCGACGATTTTGGAGGACGAGGGGTGTTTGGGGAAGTTGTGAGGACGAGGATTCTTGGATTAGTTTTATTAATTGCGACGTTTTTGGGGGCTTACTTTGTTCGTTTGTTAGTTTTGGAATAAAATTGATGTAAGCCGCCACATGTTATTGTATTTGAGATTAACAAAAATTACTGTTCATGAATTGTATTTTTTTTTTTTTAAGTAAATTGTTCATGCAAGAAATGCTCCAACTTTTCGTTGTCCATATTTTGTGATTTTTAATTTTAGTACCTAGTGGATTTATTTATTAATAAGCAATTTATTTAAATAGACTGAGATAGGTGAATAAAATTTTGTTTTACTGAACTTTTATTTTTAACCACTGACTTCCTATTAATAATAAATTATTACATATTAGTTCTTTTCCACTTTTTAACAGTTTAATCAAAATTCTGACCTGTTCATAAAAAAATACCACTTTCCAGCTAAAATCTTTGTATCTTTTTTGTTATATTTTTTGTCGCCGTCTTTGATTCCTGTTTTTAGTGGATTTTTTGTCATTTTTTTTTTCTCGCGTTTGGTTTTTTAGGTTTTTTGGGAGTTTTTGTTTTTATGTGTAATTTTTCGATGTTTTTTTTATCATATCTTTTATAATTATTCGATTTGCATTCTCAATTTTTTAGTTTTACAGTTTTTAATTTTTCAACTTTTTGATTAGGAATTTTTCGATTATACAATTTTTCCATTTTTAGTTTTTCTTTCAGTTTTTTGGATTTTCAGTTTTTCAATTTTTCTGTTCCTAAATTTTTCATTTTTTCATTTTTTTTTTCGCCATTTTTTAAGTTTTTGTTTTCAGTAGTAGTCAGTTTTTCGATGTTTGCAATTTTTCAGTTTTTCGATTTATAAAATTTCGATTGCTTGTTTCTTCAAGTTTTTTATTTGCAATCTTTCGTTTTTTAAATTTTCAACCAATTTTGATTGGTAATTTTTCGTGTTTTAAATTATACATTTATGAATATTGAGTATACAATTTTACAATTTGCAATTTTTGGATTTTCAATAATTCAGTTTTTAAATTTCTCGGTTTTTTTCGATTTTTCGTTTCAATTTCTCGATTTGTAATTTTTCGATTTTCCAACTTTTGAATGTTTCGATTTGCAATTTCACGAGATTTCAATTTTTCAATTTTTGGATTTTTCCATTCTTCAACTCTTCCAAGTTTTTGATTTACAATTTTCTGTTTCGGTTATTTATTTTTTTCTATTTTTCGACGTGAATTTTTTAATTCTTTGGTTTTTCATTTTTTCAATTTTTAATTTGCAGTTTTAGTAGTTTTCATCTTCAATATGTAATATGTAATACCTAACAATAATAATTTTTAAAAATTTTCACTTTCCATTTCACAATTTTAGAATTTTTCCAATTTTAAATCATTGCATTTTAAAACTTTCCATTTATTCGACTTTTCAATTGGTTTTTTAATTTTTCAACCAATTTTGATTGGTAATTTTTCGTGTTTTCGATTTTTTATTTTTTGATTTTTCAATTGTTCGTTTCCTCAATTTTTCGATTTGCAATTTTTCGAATTTACAATTTTACGATTTGCAATTTTTGGATTTTCAATAATTCAATTTTTCAATTTCCAAATTTCGATTTTTTTTTCGATTTTTCGTTTCAATTTCTCGATTTGTAATTTTTCGATTTTCCAACTTTTGAATGTTTCGATTTGCAATTTCACGAGATTTCAATTTTTCAATTTTTGAATTTTTCCATTCTTCAACTCTTCCAAGTTTTTTATTTACAATTTTCTGTTTCGGTTATTTATTTTTTTCTATTTTTCAGCGTGAATTTTTTAATTCTTTGGTTTTTCGTTTTTTCAATTTTTAATTTGCAGTTTTAATAGTTTTCATCTTCAATATGTATTTTCACTTTCCATTTCACAATTTAAGTATTTTTCCAATTTTAAATTATTGGATTTTAAAACTTTCCATTTATTCGACTTTTCAATTTTTCGATTTTTAATTTTTCAGTTTTTCGATTCTTTAGTTTTTCATTTCTTCAAATTTTTAATTTGTAATTTTTCGTTTCGGTTTTTTATTTTCTGCTTTACTACAATGTTCCGATTTTATAATTATAAATTTTTTTGTTTTTTTTGAAATTCAATTTTTTCAATCTCGTTTCTTCAATTTTTCGATTTGCAATTTTTCATTTATTTTTTATTTTTTGTTTTACAATATACAATGTACAATTCTTCGATTTTTGAATTTTTCATTTCTTCAGTTTTTCACTTTTTCAATTTTACGAATTAAAATTTTTTCCATTATTCGATTTTTAATTTTTCAATTTTTCGGTTGTTCAGTGTTACAGTTTTTCGACTTTACAATTTTAATGATTCTACATTTTTTTAATTTTTTGTTTTTTTAATTCCATATTTTTCAGCTTCATAATTTGTCAATTTTTCGAATTTTTCATTTGCTATTTTCCTAGTTTTCACTTTAAATATACGATAAGAATTTTTAAGATTTTTCAATTTTACGATTTTAGAGTTTTCCCATTCTTCAGTTATTGAACTTGAAAATTTCTTCATTTTTTTGACGATTTGCAATTTTTCGATTTGTAATTTTTAAATTTTGCAATTTTTTGGTTTTTCGATTTTTTGACTTTTTAGTTTTTAGATATTTTTATTCTTGTTTTTCTCATTTTTGTAGGGTTTTTTTTTTATTCCTTTTTTATGGATTTTTCTCATCATTTTTCTCGCGGTTACTTTTGCTGCTTCCTTTAGTCGATTTTTACAATTCCCTTCTTACTTTTATCAACAATTGTCTTGAAACGGTTTTCTTAGTAGGTTCTTCCCTTCTTGGTCGCTTTTTTATTGCCCTTTTTTGTTTTTTTTTTTACAATTGTCATTTTTTTTATTTATCTGTTTATTAGTTTCAAATTTTTCGATTTGCACGTTTTCAATTTTTCGATTATTCTCGTTTTTTAATTTTTCGATTATACAATTTTTCCATTTTTAATTCTTCGATCTTACAATTTTTGGTTTTCCACTTTTTCAATTTTTCAGTTACTAAATTTTTTATTTTTAAAACTTTTTTATTGTCCAGTTCTCGATTTTTTTCATTTTTCGATTTTTCAAGTTTTTCTTTTTTTTACGCATTTTTTTGTAACTTTCTTTGTTATCTTTTTGTTGCCATTTTTACCCTTTTTTTAATGGATTTTTTTGTAGTAATTTTTTTCTCGCTGTTGTTTTTGCAACTTTTTTGGTCGTTTTTTATAAGTTCCCTCTTACTTTTGTCGCTTTTTTATTCAACTGTTTGTTTTACAATTTTTCGAATTTACAATTTCACGATTTGCAATTTTTGAATTTTCAATTTTTCAATTTATAAATTTTAAACTTTGCAATTTTTTGGTTTTTCGATTTTTATTTTTTTGACTTTTTAGTTTTTAGATATTTTTATTCTTGTTTTTTAATTGTTTTTTTGCAACTTTTTTTCTCATTTTTTTCGGGGTTTTTGATTCCTTTTTTGTGGATTTTGGTCATCATTTTTCTCGCGGTTTTTATCTTGAAATGTTTTTTTTTAATAGGTTTCTTCTTTCACTTCCCTTCCATTTTTTTTTTGTTTATTAGTTTCTGATTTTTCGATTTGCACGTTTTCAATTTTTCGATTATTCTCGCATTTTAATTTTTCGATTGTTCAATTTTTGGATTTTTTAATTTTCTAGTTTGCGATTTTTAATTTTCAACTTTTCGTTTTGCAATTTTTTGATTTTTTGTTTTTGAATATTTAATTTGTCAACTTTCCGATTTTACAGTTTTTAGATATTTAATTTTTCGTATTTTCAATTTTTCGTTTCTTTGATTTTTCAATTGCCAAATTTTTGATCGTATAATTTTTCGTTTTTTTTTTTTGTTTTTCAATGCTTTAGTGGTTCCTTTCAATTTAATTGATTTGTAATTATTCTTCGATTTTTCAGTTAGGCGATTTTTTCAATTTTTCGTTTTTTTACGATCATATTTTCTGCCGCCGGTTTTTATGCAATTTTGTGTGGTTTTTGTATTTTTTTCTCGAGATTGTCTTTTATAATTCCCCTTTTATTTCGACCGCTTTTTTGATCCGTTTTATAGCCTTTTTTGCTTACTTTTCATCGCCATTTTTTTAAGCAATTTTTTAGTAGCTTTCTATGTAATATCGTCTGTTTTTTGTCGTTTTTACCTATTTTTTATTGTTTTTTACACCTTATTTGTCCTACTTTTTTGTCTCCGTATTTTGTGGTAATTTTTTCTCGCGTTTTCTTTTGTACCTTTTTTTTGTAATCTTTCCCACTTATTTTTGCATCCCGTGATTGCTTTTTTTGTCGCCCTTGTCTTTTACTAGTTTTATTTCATAATTTTTTTTATTGATCACTTCTTTTTTCCCTTTTTTTATCCTTTTCCTCCCTTTTTAGCCGTTTTTTTATCACATTTTTTGATATATTTTTGTCGCTACTTTTATCACTCTTTACTTCTCGAGCGTAAGCGAAGGAAGTATTGTAATCGAGTCCGTCGACCGACTTTCTACTTCTACGTTTTCTCGACCTTTCATGACCCATAGAGTACGAAGAAATGGGTCTCCCGTTTCCGTCTGTTTGTCTGTCTGTCTGTCTGCCGACTGTCCGGATTTTTATTATATACATAATCTCCGAAACTACTGGACTGATTTTTAATCAAAATATATTTGCTTGTCCACTCCAAAAAATCGATGATGAATAAATCCTATCTTAAATGACTGAGTCAATTTATTTTATTGATTAAATCAGGAACGGCTCACTCCATTTTCCCAAAAAATTTTGTGAATACAACACTGTTATTTTGAAACGTCTACAAAAAATTGGACAACTATTAAATTCTTTAGTGTCAGAACGAAATTTCGAGGATAAAATGTGTTCGTCGGTTTCTTTTACTTTTGCGGTATTGTTGGTTGCCCAAACTGACTTCTTATTAAAATATTATATTTATGGAACGTAAAATGGGTTGCCTATGCAGAATTATTCAGGCGTGAACAGATAACACGAACACCCTGTATATTTACTTACCTATTTTTTGTTACTTATACCTACTCCACTTTGGTGACTTTAGTTTCGCTGATAAAATGTGTTCATCGGTTTCTTTTACTTTGTAGTATTGTTGGTTGCCTAAATTGACTTCTTGTTAACTAAATTTGATATTTGGCTGTATTTATTTACACTTTTATAAACTCAACCAGCTCACCGTGAGAAAAACCAGATTTTAAATTTCCTTCCACTCGT